AGTCAACCTTTGGAACTCCTTGCTGCAGGAGGCTGTGAAGGCTAGAACTAGAACAGAGTTTAAAGAGAAGTGAGATCAAGTCATGGAGGTTGGGTCCATGGAGTGGTATTAGCCAGGGGGTAGGAGTGATGTCCCTGCCCAAAGTTTGTGAAAGGCTGGAGAGGGATGGCATGAGACAAATGGCTTGGTCACTGTCTTCGGTCCATCCCCTCCAGGGTCCCTAGGATTGGCCACTGTCGGCAGACAGGCTACTGGGCTAGATGGACCTTTGGTCTGACCCACCCCTTAATTCAGACTAGTAAGTTCGAACTAGGCTTAGTCCTCGTAGAATGAGGTTTACCTAGTTCGAACTAAGCGCTCCACTAGTTCGAATTAAGTTCGAACTAGCGGAGCGCTAGTGTAGCGCCTATCAAAGTTAATTCAAACTAACGTCTGTTAGTTCGAATTAACTTTGTAGTGTAGACATACCCTTGGAGACTAAGAGAGATAGAGTCGCTCCAACGACCGTCACGGCAGTAAGAAGGAACTGAGGTGGGGCAGTGCCGGCAGGGTTACTTATGCCCCGCCATGGCGGTGCCACTCCAGGGAGCGCCCTGCCGGCGCTACGGGTACCGCTAGGGAAAACGCTCCGGAAGATGCGGTGCACGCAGTGCGCACACCTACTTCGAATGGACATGAGCAACCACTCGAAGAAGAAATTATATTTGCAAGGGCCTGTCAGTAGAGGGAGACATGGTCACATGCACTAAGCCCTACATTAGCTTTCCTTACTGTAAATGTGGTTATAATGAAGTAATTCCTCCTTCTCCAGAAATGACAGTAAGGACAGCATCAAACACTTGTCACTAGTCTCAAAACATCTCTGAAGCCTTAGGAAAATAAAACCTAGCTGCGTCCCTAAACGCAGCAAGAGCACGCTATTCATTGGTATATTTTAAGTTTGTGGAAAATCTCTTTAATATTTCTGTCCTTAGATACAGCCAGAAGTAAAGGGCATTTTTATATTCTGGTTATCTTTTCTAGAATTCAATTTTTGTGCAGTGATGGGCACACACTCAGAAAGAATTACCTTAAATTTCTGAAGCAGTTGTTCTATTACTTCTCCTGTTTTCATGTTGCTGTTTATTCTTATTTTAGTTTCTGATCCAAAAGCTGGAGTGAAAATGGATGTCTAAAAAACAAGAGCAGCAATATATTAACTTCGTTTAATTCCAATACATTTAATACCATGGTGGTGAAATCAACACAGGTGTAAAAACAATGTGGGATTATGCATCATGCAACATCTGCATAATAGTCTTCCTTTGCTTGAAATTGTTTGGTCACTCTGCTCTCATGCCACAGCTCCCCTGAGGATGGTTAAAGCAGAATCAAATCTTAAACAACTCATTGCATTTCACCCCCATCTGTTCTCTGCCGCATTCATAGTAACTCTTCGAACAGGAGAGCATTCACACCTCATAGTTGTAGAAATGCCCATTAATGGAGAACCTGTGCTTTTCCACTTCCTTTCTTGCATCCGTTGGGGAATTTGCCCTTTTCCTCACTTGTAGTGTGTCACTCATGGCTCTGGTTCTGTGTGGGCTCAGGGAAGTGGGCTCCTGCACACTTCTGGGTTTGAGGGTGCTGCTCTCATAAGAGGAGCAACCTGGACAAAATAAAACATCATCAGCACAGCATATGTTACTCTACCTCCTCTCAGGGAGCTTTCAGCTTCACTTCTCCAGCTGTTTGCCAGTAGGTGGTGCTGGCAAGAAGTTATAATGGCTTGCAGAGTTCATAAGGTAGTCAGAGTTATATGCTGTTTGAACTGGTCACAGATCATTCCATTGAGTCTTTGTTTGGGGATTATCTCTTCAGAGACATTATAGACAATATAATTTAGTGTTACGGGCTGATTGCTACATAGATAATGAGCAGATGTAATAACTTCACTATTACTTCTTACAATGTATTCAAGAAGCATTTAAATATCATGAGGAAATCAAGGAAAAGCTGTCTCTTAATACTCCAGCCCACAGACAACTCTACATTTTGTCCTCTTTTATACCTGTGCAGCCACATAAGATAACTTTCTGATGAATATATTAAGAAAACTGACCTTTCTCATGGCTTAGAGGCTCTTCTGAAGAATTTGGTGTCTCTTCGCTAATGTGATAGAGATTATCAAATTCTCCCCAGCGCATCATCCCCCTGAAACAGGGATCAAACATTTATTTACAGGCTGATATTCTTTCTTAGTGGGAGTGAATCCAGTTTAGGCTCCAGCCAAGTGCCCCATAACAAATGGCTGTTCCTGTTTAGAACTGCAAGTCATCATTTTAGAGTCTTTCATTAGATTGTATTTAGTAGGTAACTTTAGCACATCACAATAGCATATTTTACCAAACATGAATTGTGGGACCAAAGGCACCACAGGGTGCTCAGAAGCCTAAGCAGAACAGGTGAAAATTCAGACAATAATGTGGCCGATTATTCATGTTTTATTATGATTGATTTTATAGTTCCCCCAAGGCCTGAGAGGAAAGCCCCAGTTTGCTGGACACTGGGCAGAGCCATAACACAAGACAGTTACTTGTTTGAAGAGCTTACACTACAGATCAAACAGGCCAAGGATGTCTCATGAGCTGCATTTAAAGATGGAAACTGATGCACAGAGAAATCTGTATTCCTAGCACAATGATCCAGGATTAGGTCTCCTAGGGTTACCAGATGGTTTCAACAAAAATACCGGACACACTTGACATTACATCACAATCTACATTACATCTTATTTAGAAAATACCGGATATTTCTATTTTCTCATTTCTATTTTCTCAATTTGTTTCCCGAACAGAAAGCTCAAATACTGGACTGTCTGGTTCAAAACCGGACACCTGGCAACCCTAAGGTTTCCTAGGTACTGTAATAACAGACATAAAATAATGAGAGTCACACAGGAAATCTCTGGCCCAGCCAGAACCTGAACCCAGCTCTCCTAAGTGCCAGGAATTACCTTAGCCACACGGCTCAACATAATTTGCTTAGTCATTAAATTATTTGTCAAAAAAATCTTTGACCAACTCTAGGGCTGTGACAGTATTGCTGGGTAAAGTGGGAGGGCCCTGCTCCATGCTTCCAGAAGGGGTCTATGCCACTAGGTCTATGCCAATTTGTCCTGGAGGACAATTTCTTTCTAACCGCAAATATGGCACTCAGTTGTAGCATGTGGGTAAGACCCACCAACCAGACACCTGGGGAAGAATTCTCTATAGCAACTCAGAATCGTATCCCCAACCATTGGGCATGTTTGTTACTTGCAGCCACTGATTGGCCATCTTCCCTGTAGACAACTGCATCATACCATCCCCTCCATAAACTCATCAAGTCAGGCTTAAAGCCAGTTCACTTTTCTGTCTACATTGCTCCACGTGGAAGGCTGTTCCAGAGCTTCACTCATTGGATGTTAAAAACCTTTGCCTAATTTCAAGTCTAAACCTGTTGATGGCCAGTTTATATCCACTTGTTCTTGTGCCCACATTAATCCTTAACTCAAATAACTCCTCTCCCTCCCTGAAATTTGCCTCTCTGGTGTATTTATAGAGAGCAACCATATCTCCCACTCAGTCATATTTTGGTTAGGCTAAATAAGCTAAGCTCTTTGAGTTTCTCCTTTCTCAAGGTAGGGTTTTCCTAGTAGCCTTTCTTTGCACCAGTTCCAGTTGGAATTCATCTTTCTTAAAACACAGGAGACCAGAACTGCACATGCTCTTCCGGATGAGGTCTCTCCAGTGCCTTGTATAATGGCAATAAGACTTCCTTGTTTCTACTGGAAATATCTTGCCTGATGCATTCTTGCTTTGCATTATATTCTGTCTCACGGCTGCATAACATGAGTGGCTCACAGTCCTCCTGTGATCAACCAATACACCTTAGCCTTGTCACTTCTAACTAGGGTTCCCATCAATCCCTTATAAGAAGGGGCATCTCTTGATACTTCATTTCTACACAAGAAGATTAGGAGTTGCTGAGTGCTGCAAAAAGCAGCAAGAAATATCACTGGAAAATTAAAATATCATAACAACTAAATAATAATAATATTGGGAACCAGGGTGGGACAGGTTTTCTAAGAAAACCTTCCCTTATTTTTGAAATAGAATGTTGGCAACCCTACTTCCAACTGATACATCCCCAACTTATAGCAAAAATTCTTGATGCTAGTCCCTACGTGTGTGACCTTGCACTTTCCATTATGAAATTTCATCCCATTTCTATTACTCCAGTTTTCAAGGTTTCCCAGATCTTCTTGCATGATATGCTGGTCCTCCTCTATGTTAGCAGCACCTCTCAACTTTGTGGCATCTGCAAACTCCCAACTTTTTTGCCACAGTTATGAATTAAAATGCTAAATAAGATTGTCCACAAGACCGATCCCTGACGAGCTCCACAAGTAACCTCCCTGCAGCCTGACAGTTCATCTGTTAGTATGACCCACTGTAGTATTCCCTTTAACCAGTTCCTTATCCACCTTCCAGTTTTCAGATAAATTCTCAACTTCTCCAATGGAATTAATAATTTCTCTGTGTATCAAATATCTCGTTGTACTCAGCAGAGCTCTACAGGCAGTCCCCGGGTTACGTACAAGATAGGAATTGTAGGTTTGTTCTTAAGTTGAATTTGTACGTAAGTCAGAACTGGCGTCCAGATTCAGCCGCTGCTGAAACTGACCAGCG